CCCCAAAATATTTCCCTACCTTAATGCCACAGCGCCAGAAGGCCCAGCATTTTTTAAAAAAAATTTTTGGAGATAAAATTCATATAACATAAAAATCACCCTTGCAAAGTGTACAATTCAGTAACTTTTAGTGTGTTTACCATGTTGTGCAACCATTACTACTTATTCTAGAGCATTTTCATCAGCCCAGAAAGAGACTCCAGCTCTCCCTCCTCCCATCTCCTGGCAACCACTAATGCCTTTCTATCTCTATGGATTTTATTCTGGACATTTTATGTCAATGGAATCATATAATAGCCTTTTGCGTCTGGCTTCTTTCATTTAGCGTAATGTTTTCAAGGTTCGTCCACGTTGTAGCAGGTATCAGTTCTCCATTCCTTTTCTTTTCTTTTCGTTTTTTGGCCGGGCTGTCCAGCATGTTGCATCTTAGTTCCCCAAGCACGAATCAAACCTGCGCCCCTTGCAGTGGAAGCAGCGAGTCTGAACCACTGGACCTCCAGGGAAGTCCCAGCACTCTGTTCCTTTTCATGGCTGAATAGAATCCCACTGTACAGATAGACCACATTTTGTTTATCCATTCATAGACTTGATAGACATTTAGGTTGTTTTCACTTTTTGCCTTTTATGAATATTGCCGCGGTGAGCGTTCATGTACAAGTTTCTGTTTGAACACGTCTTCAGGTCTCTTGAGTATAGACCTAGGAGTGGAATTGTTGGTTCACATTCTAACTCTGTGTTTAACTTTTTGAGGAACTGCCACACTGTTTTCCACAGTGACTGCACCATTTTACATTCCCACCAGCAATAGATGAGGGTTCAGGTCCACCATTTTTGGGTTCTTTGTGGGGAGGGTTGGTTTTCTTAATATTGTGGCCCAGCCTAGCGGCCTGTGGGACTGTAGTTCCCCCACCAGGGATGGAACCGGCACCCTCGGCAGTGAAAGCACAGAGTCCTAACCACTGGACCGCCAGAGAATTCCCTCAGGTCCACCATTTTTGAAACCCAGTTTTTTGAGTCAAACATGCCTTTCTAACCCAATCTGAGTACATTTCTCAGGTTTTACTCCTGAGCCACAGAAAGCTGTGGGGGCGGAGCCTGACATAGTGCTTTGGGAGGGGAAGATGTTAAAAATGGAGAAATGGGACTTCCCTGGTGGCGCAGTGGTTGGGAGTCTGCCTGCCAATGCAGGGGACACGAGTTTTGAGCCCTGGTCCGGGAGGATCCCACGTGCTGTGGAGCAGCTAGGCCCATGTGCCACAACTACTGAGCCTGCGCTCTAGAGCCCACAAGCCACAACTACTGAGCCTGTGTGCCACAGCTACTGAAGCCCGTGCGCCTACAGCCCATGCTCTGCAACGAGAGAAGCCACCGCAATGAGAAGCCTACGCACCTCAAGGGTAGCCCCAGCTCGCCACAACTAGAGAAAAGCCTGTGCACAGCAACAAAGACCCAGTGCAGCCAAAAATAAATAAACAAATTTATTTTTTTAAAAAATGGAGAAATGACCCAGTAACAAGGACAGGAGACACTGAAGACAAACTGCTTGCTGCACGATTTTGCTCAAAGAAGGTCCCACCAAGAGTCTAAAAAAGTGGCTTAGGACTTCCCTGGTGGTCCTGTGGTTAAGACTCCGCATTTCCACTGTAGGGGGCACCGGTTCCATCCCTGGTTGGGGAACTAAGATCCTGCATGCCTCGCGGTGTGGCAAAATAAATAAATAAATAAAAATTAAAATTAAAAAGTGGCTTTAAAATGGCTGAGGAGGCAGGAGAAAGCACTTCACAGAAGTAGGTTTCCAGATGCAGCGGCTGGTTTTTCACTTTACCCCTCCTGTCTCCCAGTCTGCGGACGGCCGGTCATCCCCATTGCCCAGAACAGGGAGCCCGTTGGTGCCTCCAGAGCTGAGCTGGGCAACTTCCCCTGGCAGGCCTTGACCAGCATCTACGGCCGAGGCGGCGGGGCCCTGCTGGGCGACAGGTGGATCCTCACCGCCGCCCACACCATCTACCCCAAGGACGGTATCTTCCTCGGGAAGAGCCGGCGCGCGGAGGTGTTCCTGGGCCACACGAACATCGACGAGTTGCTGGAGCTGGGCGGCCACCCGGTGCGCCGCGTGGTCGTGCACCCAGACTACCGCCCGGACCAGACCCACAACTTCCACGGGGACATCGCCCTCCTGGAGCTGCGGCACAGTGCCCCGCTGGGCCCCCACCTCCTCCCGGTCTGCCTGCCCGACCGCAAGGCCCTGTACCGCCCGGGCCTGGCGGGCTACGTCAGTGGCTTTGGCGTGGAGAACGGCTGGTTGACCACGGAGCTGAAATACTCCCAGGTGCCCGTGGCCCCGCGGGCGGCCTGCGAGGCCTGGCTCCGAGAGAAGCGGAGGACCGAGGTGTTCTCCGGCGGTATGTTCTGCGCCGGGGACAGCACGCGGCCGCAGAGTGTCTGCCAGGGGGACAGTGGTGGTGCCTACGTGGTGTGGGACGATCGTGCCCGTCGCTGGGTGGCCACGGGCATCGTATCCTGGGGCATTGGGTGTGGTGAGGGGTACGGCTTCTACACCAAAGTGCTCAACTACGTGGACTGGATCAGAGGAGTGATGGGCGGGAAGGATGACCCCGGGGTGCTGAGCAGGGGCACCCACCGTGGAGCCCAGACGGGAGAGGGTTGGGTTGAGGACTGAACCCTGGGCGTGGGGCAGTGGGGACAGAGATTCCTATTCAGGTCACAGCTGCAGCAAACCACTGAGCCAGAGAAATCCTCCGCGTCCCTCAGCCCCCTTCTCACCCTCCACCTTCCTGCGGGTTTGCGCGCTACACCCACACGTCTCCTTGCTACACCCACACGTCTCCTCGAGTTTCCGCTTTGAACTTCATCCCCCGGGACACGGCGTCTTCTGCACTCTCCCGAGAGACAGTCACCTCATCCTCCTGTTCAAGTGCCGTGTGGGAAAGTAGTCTCAGTTCATTTCTGAAACACTTCAAAGCCCCTGTGATCAACCTTCAAAGAGTCAAATAGTCTTGGCTTCACCTCGCACAACTCCTTGGCTGCAATTATAGTCACAGCTCTACGTTGTTCTGTATCTTCTTATATCAGGCGCTTCCCGTGTGTTACTTCACCGACTCCTCACACCAGCTTTGCAAAGGATGAGTTATTATCCACGTTTTACCAAGGAGGAAACTGAAGCTCAGGGAGATGAAGGGACTCTTCCAAACCCCACAGCTGATACAGGACGGCGAAGGCATGTCCTTTCCAGTACACCTCGACAGCTCTCAGGTGTCCTCAAGACCTACTGTATCGCCCACTCCCCGATCCCCGCATCCTTTTAGATTCTCCCTCCTGGGAATTCCTGCCTCGGTGAAGCTGACAACAGCTGGCTCACACTTTCCTGCTGGCCGCACTCCTGCAGACACCTTGGTGAGCCCAGCCCTGGGCTGGACGGTCCTGCAGGCACCCCCAGAGCTGCTGGACACCCCGGGCCATGTCCCCAACATCAAGCACACTGCTCTCCCTGAAAAGACCAACTCTTTAATTTTTAGTAAGGACTTGATGTCACAGTAAAAGACACAAGTAAAATACAGTTGTTTCAAATGGAAAACATAAAAAGACACAAAAAACAATTGTTCAACTGGAAATAGAAGACAGATACATAAAACAGAAGAGAACAAATTTGCTAGACTTCAAGGTCGAGTTAGCTATATGGTTAAAGGTTACATTTATCTTTGAGAAAATAGCAGGATTCAAAGTTATACATACATGTGGTTTCTTCGATTTTTTAAACCTATACATAGTACAGAATACTCAAAATATTAATCTGAGGGTTTTTTAGTGGTATAATTTTGGCTGTGTTGTTTTCCCCTATGTTCCACTAAATTTTATTTAATGAGTATATATTAGTTTTATTTGTCTTATTTCTTTAGTTTTAAAATATTTATTTATTTATTTTTGGCTGCGTTGGGTCTCCGTTGCTGCACGCGGGCTTTCTCTAGTTGTGGCGAGCGGGGGCTACTCTTCATTGCAGTGCACGGGCTTCTCATTGAGGTGGCTTCTCTTGTTGCTAAGCACGGGCTCTAGGCGCTCGGGCTTCAGTAGTTGTGGCGCGCAGGCTTCAGTAGTTGTGGCTCACGGGCTCAATTGCTCTGCGGCATGTGGGATCTTCCCGGACCAGGGCTCAAACCCGTGTCCCCTGCATTGGCAGGTGGATTCTTTACCACTGCACCACCAGGGAAGACCCTGTCTTCTTTATTTTTATTACTGAGAGCATGATGAGTTTCTCTCTGCCAAGGCAAAAAATATATACCTATACATATCTATATGTCTGTATCTATCTATCTAGATCTAGACATGTCTAGACATAGATAGATACAGGTAGATATAGTTATAGGTACAGGTATATAGATATATAGATGAAATATATCCACAGAGGGAAACATACCATTATGTTAAGAGAGAAAACTTTTTTCTCCCCAGAATCAAATCTTAAAAGGAATGATCAATATAACAATGTCTTCAATACTGGTTTGAAAACAAATGCTTGAGCAATCTTCACGTGGCTGTTCTTTCTTGCTGTCCTTGGTATACATCAAGGGTATATAACACAACATGTAAGTCGAGGTGATTTTATATGGTTGGGCAGAGTGGGAATCCGACTGGGACTGAGCTAATGAGGTCCAAGCTTGTCAGTTTCCAGTCATGCTACATGGTACCAGGACAGAACTCAGAATCCCTAGGAGGAATGGGAGAGTTTCTGCCAAGACTTACCTTCTTGGACCACCTCCTCTACCTGTATATCTGCCATCCTGCCCCGTGGTAAGCGCACAGCACACACATACTGCTGTCCAGATACTAATGTGCAGTTTGCTAGACAAGATTCCCCTCCTTTCTTGCCTCCTGACATCCTCCTTATCCTTCTTCCCTACCTTTTGTCCTTCCTCACCTGACAAGGCCACGGATCATGCCATGGATCGTGTCATGGATCAGCCCTGCCGGCAGACTCAGTCCTCGGCTCTGACGTATAAACCTGCTGGAGATCCTCCAACCCTCCAACCTGGCCTGATCTTGCCTCTCCCATGTGCCTGCTCTCAAACTACATTCAGTGAGGACCTGGCCACTGCCTAATGGGAAGCTGCCACATCTTCGCGAGCCCAGTGCCTGGGAAAGTGCCTGGCACTTTAAATAGGTAGCTTCCAAATGGATAAGTGAGCAGGTGGGTGGGTGGAGAGTTGGAGGGATTCATCTAATAGGGGAAACAAGCAGGATGGACTACAGAGGCCTGAGAACTCAGAGGCCTGTTCTGGATCTGCGTCTCCCTGTGGAGCACACCGCTATAGGGTCGCTGAGCCCTGGAGAGTTGAAGAAAGTCTTCCCCAAAGAGCAAAGGTTTAAAACAGGACACGATGGCCTGGAGGACAAGAGAGACGAGAGCCCTTTCTCCCTCCCGGGGGCCTGGCCTTCTTTCAGAAAAGACCAAGTCACTAGTGGTCGGCCTACAACCACACTGTTTGCCCAGCCCTAGGCAGCTGGGACACTCAGGGGCTCAAACTCTTGACCAGTTTCTGAGGATAAGAGGATGTGTCTATCCTGTCCTCAGCTGCCCCTGCTTCTCTAAGAAACAAGTTCATTGGCAGGCCTGAGTTCACTGAGGTGGGGAAGAAGGGTCTTAAAACTGAGCCTGGTACTGCTTTGGGGTCACAGCAATCCTTGCTCTTCGTGTCATTGATGAGTGAAGTAGCCCAGGGCCCCAGGGCAACCGAACTTCATTCTCATCTGTGCCCTCCTGCACTACCCTTCTCCAGCCTTTGTTCCTGTCACATCATCCTGGGCATTGAAACCCTGGCTGCTCCCAGACCAGGGCTGTCAGGCGACTAAGGACAGGAAGGGTCCAGGAAAGAGAGTCACCCTCAACTGCAATCTCCATTGCCCTTTTGGTAGGAACCTTGTACAACAACATCAGACCCCAGGAAGGTCCCAGAAGAAAGAGGGAATTCCCATCAGATTTAGAAACGGAAGTCTGGGCCTCCAACCAAAGGCTTTTCTGTCCCTAAAAATGCAGACCCATCTCTAGACCTTCCCCATGTGGCCAGCAGGTGGCAGCACCATCAGGGATTTCAAAACCAAAACTAAATTACACTGGAAACAGATTTTTTTTTTTTGGTTTTTGTTTATGCAAATAGTTCATTCCCTACAACATTCCTCCCGTAATGGTCCCCCCCTTTTCCCCCTCATTCCCTCCCCCTTCCCTCCTCTGCGTGACTCTGCTCTCCCTGGACACAGAGTGGATGAAGACGCTGTCAGGAGAGTCAGAGACCCAAAAACAGCCCTTGAGAAATGTGAGTAAGGCTAATGGGGACCAAGGAGGGTGGGAGAAGCCAGAGCAGAGAATCCTGGGCACGGGAGGCAACCCTGCCCCCAGATTTACTCAGGGAGGTGGGAACACACTTCCCCTCCGTATATACCTTACCCCTTCCAACGTGCACATGCGTGCACACATGCAAACACATACCCCCCCGTCCCTCCTCCTGAGGGCAAGAGGAGACCTCAGACCCAGGAGGTGATGCCACCTTATCTTCCTCCTCCAGCTCCCAGGGAGCAGCGAGATGGGGGACCCACTCAGCCCTGGAGAGGCGTCGTTTTGTGCCCGAAACCATCTTCCATAGGTGGTTTCTCCCAGAGGCCTTTGCTGAGCCTTTGGGAGCCCTTTCGGAGAGCCGTGACTGGAAACCCTCACCCCCAGTTAACGGGTCCCAAGCCAGCCCTATTCCGGGAAGGGGAGGGGAGTGATGGGACAGAGCAGAGGAGGCTGGGGAGAGAGGTGGAGGGAGCGCAATGACCTCCGGACTGGACACCGCCCCGGGGAGTGCGCACCAATGCGGCAGCTGCAAAGACCAGCCTCCGCACTCCGCCCGCCCCCGCCCCCCAGAACATCTCTGTGAGGTCTAGAATGGGCCGAGAGGAAAACGCCCGGCGGTATGACCATCCCCACCCCCTCCACAGCCACTGCCCAAACTGCAAGGCTGCTGCACCCCTCCAGCCCTACAGATACCTTTTTTCTTTTTGGCAGGTGGCTCTTATACGTCCTGGTGCCAGTCCTGTTCTACAGGGTGGGAGGCTCCGTCTTCACCCCTCGGAAACTCTATGGGGAAGTGACTTCCCCTCTGTACCCCAAGCCTTACCCCGACAACTTTGAGACCACCACTGTGATCACGGTCCCCACGGGGTACAGGGTGAAGCTCGTCTTCCGGCAGTTTGACCTGGAGCCTTCGGAAGGCTGTTTCTATGATTATGTCAAGGTAGGGGCCCAGGTTGGGTGGGCAGAGGGAGAGCTGGGTGTCTCTGGAACCTGGGAACTTGTGTTCTGACCACCCTGTACAGGACCCCACCTGTGGACAAAGCCCCAAGTCTGTAAAAGCTGATGGCCAGGTGGGGGTTCTGAGAGTCAAGTGATGTCATGGATGAGTGTCCACTGGTTTGAGAGCCCCTAGGGGAGCACTGAGGGGAGAGACACAGAGGGAAGGTACGGGCCCCACTCTCAGGAAATGTACTGCCTACAGGAATCAGAAAAACCTTCCCCACCTTCTTACTTGCTAGCAGCCTTTGGGAAATCGCTGTGCCTCAGTTTCCCTGTTTCCATGGAGAGTATCACCTTGACTGCCACCTCACCAGGAACGCAGGGACATGGGGAAGGGAGACATTCATGGTGGTGGCTCAAGCATAGGTTTCAGCAAGGACAGGGAGCTGTCTCCTCACCTCTGTCATGACCAAGGGCACCGTCCCAGTCCCATCTTTCTACATCCAATAAAAATGAGATTCTTGACTCAGGATTCGGGTAGAGCATGCACACAGCTCATAAATACTATTCCAAGGAGACCTCCTGGAGGTTATAAGAGAATAACATGAAAATGAAACATCTTCCTAGCCCAGAGGACTTGAGACGGCAGTGTTGGAGGCAAGGGGTCTTGGTGGCAAGGGATGGTGAAGAATGAGGTGGGGGGAGGGATGCCTTCTGCTCTGGAGGGGTTAAGGAATCTGTGAAGAAAGAGGTAAGGGAAGTTCGGCCATGCTTGCTAAGGCTACCAGGCCCCGGGGGCTCACGTTCAGCTGAGTCCATCACGAGGCATGGCTGGACGTGGGTGGTTTGACTAAGGCGAGGTGGAAGGACAGAGCAGAAGGTGAAGCAGACCATCCAGGCTCTAGGGATGAAGGAATGATAGAGGCCAGGTAGAGGCCACCAGGATTCCAGTGGGGGGCGGGCACAGGAGGAGATGGGTGTGAAGAAAGGTCTGAAACATGCTGGGGGTCATAAAAAGGGAGGGACGATGTTTGCGGGACAGGATAACGTGCAGAGTTAGCGGATGGAGATGCAGGGGACAGAGGAAAGGCACCTGGGGAAGCTTGCAACAGCCAGAACGCAGCAGGCAGAGAGCAGCTGGAGGCCGTCCAGCAAGGAGGCATGATCCGCTCGTCGGGACAAGAGAAGGATGACCTTCACTGACCCTCCACGTGGGACGTGTCCCCTCAGCAACTGTCTCCCTACCCCACTGTCCTTCTTCCACCAGATCTCTGCCGATAAGAAAACCCTGGGGAGGTTCTGTGGGCAGCTGGGCTCCCCACTGGGCAACCCTCCAGGAAGGAAGGAATTTATGTCCCAAGGGAACAAGATGCTGCTGACCTTCCACACGGACTTCTCCAATGAGGAGAACGGCACCATCATGTTCTACAAGGGCTTCCTGGCCTACTACCAAGCTGTGGGTGAGTGGTCCCTGTGCCCGTGTTCCAGGCCTCATATTGCACGGGGGCCGGAAAAGGAGAACCTTGACTCCAAAGAAGCAGGAAGCCTGGCCTTCCTTGCTTTTACCAAGAGAGCTTTTTCCAAGAGGGGGCTGTCCACCTGAGCCCTGTCCCCACTGGGCAGTCCCCAGAAAGCGTTAGAGGGGCCGCGGGAGGCCCAGGTGGCCAGGAGCTGGCTTTGTCTGTTTAGGCCTCTGGTGAGTGACCTCGCTGAGACTAGCGCCACCACAGAAGTCCCCTGGCAGGAACTGAATCCTTCCTTCCGGAATCTCTTCCAGACCTGGACGAATGTGCCTCCCAGCTCAACTTGGTCGAGGAGAATCCCCAGCCCCTGTGCCAGCACCTGTGTCACAACTACGTTGGTGGCTATTTCTGTTCCTGCCGTCCAGGCTATGAGCTTCAGAAGGACAGGCATTCCTGCCAGGGTGAGGTCAGGGTTGGGAGGAAGGGACCGAGCAAGGGCTCACCGGGCCAGCCCGAGTCTTCGGGTGACCCCCCTCCCGGCTTTGCTCTCACAGCCGAGTGCAGCAGCGAGCTGTTCACAGAGCCGTCGGGCTACATCTCCAGCCTGGAGTACCCCCGGCCCTACCCGCCCGACCTACGCTGCAACTACAGCATCCGGGTAGAGCGGGGCCTCACCCTCCAACTCAAGTTCCTGGAGCCTTTCGAAATCGATGACCACGAGCAAGTACACTGTCCCTACGACCAGCTACAGGTGCAGCAGACCTCCCCACCCCCAGACGCCCTGTCCTCTCCTCCCATCGCCACGTGGCTCTCTTACCCCTCCTTCCTGCTGGACCCTCTGGCCAATTGGTACAGCAATGGCCAACATCACACATGAGTTGGGCAAGTTCCTACACAGCTGGCAGCTGGGTACTGGGGATCCCTTTTACCCTCCAGCTGAAAACATACAGAAAGCAGGATCCCCACCACCAGCACCACCGCCCCAGCCCTGGAGAAAAGTCTCTGAACTGGAGAGGTGACCCTCCCTCCTCCCCCATCAGATCTATGCCAACAAGAGGAACATCGGTGAGTTCTGTGGGAAGCAAAGGCCAGAGCCCATTGACACCAGCAGCAACTCCGTGGACCTGCTGTTCTTCACGGACGAGTCAGGGGACAGCCAGGGCTGGAAGTTGCACTACACCAGCAAAAGTAAGGCTGCCCGGGGCCCCTCGCTGGCCAGCAAGTGGGCAGGATGTAGTGGGTAGAAAGAAGGCCAGTGGCTCTGCAATAAATGTGCCCTCTGCTTTCCCTGACAGTCATCAAGTGCCCCCAGCCCAAGACCCTAGACTCGTTCACCATCATCCAGGACCTGCAGCCTCAGTACGAGTTCCGGGACTACTTCATCGCCACCTGCAAACAAGGCTACCAGCTCATGGAGGTAAGAGCCACAGCTGAGGGGAAGGAACTGGCCCAGCATCAGGAATAATTCACACAGCCAGACCCACAGCAGGCTGAGGCTCAGCCCCAAGTGGAATCATACACGTTTGAGCTGGAAGGGTCACCTGGCCTGTTCCAACTTGACTGCTCTTTGGAAACACTTAGGATTTTAAAATACTGATGTCCAGGTCCCCTGCTAGAGCCTAGTCTATGGGTCTGGAGTGCAGCCTAGGCATCAGGATTACTAAAAGCTACTCAGGTGATACTACTGCCCAGCCAAGTTTAAGAGCTACTGGCCTTGCCCAATAACTCATTGTAGAGTTAGGAACCAAAGAGGCGGGGGTGGAGGTGAAGTGCAAGGAGCGACTCAACAGTACCGGGATTGTGTACAGCAAGGATTACCACCAAACCCCCTGCCTCTTGCTCCAGGGCTCTGGGTTTTGGGACTTTGGTGTTTTTTTTTAAGACCTAACTGACTTTATTCAATGATTCATGAATCGGGCAGCATCCCACCTAACAACAAGAAGGGGCTTCTTTTCTGTACATTGGTGGTCTTACCCCAGGTCCACTACCCTGTCCTCAGCTTTGCAGACTCAGGAAAATATGTGGTTTTCTCCACTGGTCAATCTCACAAAAGCTGGTAAATTAAAATGCTATTTTTAAAAAGCATGCGGTTGGAGTTACCCCTGGCCAGGGACCTGGGACTGGACATCCCGTCTTTGTTCAATAGAACCACTTGGGAGACCTACTCTGAAACAGAGAAGAGACCTTTGGTTTGTCCTTCAGTTGTAGCAAAGTCACCGAACAAACATTCTAAGTGTTACTGAGTGTCAGGCAGTGTTCTGGATGTGGGAAGTACAGTAAAAAGAAACACATATTCATGCAGGCTTCGTGGAGCTTACCTTTGAATGTTGCATCAAGCTGAGTTAGCCAGGTAACTGCTCCTCGCTCCAGGAAGGACTCAGTGTCCTAGACCCCTCCTCTCTGCTCAGGTTACAACTCACCACGTCCTACGTCCCCCGCACCCTTAACTTGGCATTTGTCATTCACATCATAGAGTTTAAAACAAGTCACACGGTTTCTCTCACATTATTTACATTTCACTGGGACATCCTAACCCTCGTACACATTCCCTTGCAATCTGTTCCAGGGCGAATTATCTGGGATGACTGCTGATCTTAATAAAACTCATTCATTCTGTCCAATTACTTTTCATTTCAGAGGGGGCCATCTCCTGCCCTGGTCCCTGCCATCTGCTCACCTACGACAGCACTTAGCATACGTCAGCATCCTCAAGCACCCTTGAAAGTGGCTGGGCTGCGCTAGTATTTTAGGAAAGGCTGTTGCCCTTAAGAAGACTACAGTCTAGGGGCAATGAGGTGATGAAAGGTGTTCCAGAGGAAGAGAAACATGGTTCTACTTCAGGACAGAAACTTTTGTTTCAATGCAGAGAACACACAACTGGGCTTGTTGTTTTTTAATTTAAAATTGTGGGGTTCAATTGGACCTCAGTGGAAACAGGCAAGAATCTAGAGAGAGGATTATTGGGTCTAACAACTAGCCCTAGGTCTGACTTCCTGCTGTGTGGCTCATGTGCGCCCATGTGTAAGTCTGGTCTGAAAGGACTGGCTAGGAAGAAGGACCAAGGAGCCACGTCCATGGGTGCTAAGTTCTGAGGGCTTGAGAGATGACTTTGCATCCCTACTGCTCCCGTGTGGGCGAGGACAGGAAGGGAGCTGCGGCACCTCCTTGTACTAACAGCACCTCTATCTCTGATCAAACAGGGCAAACAGGCGCTCCTGTCCTTCACAGCTGTCTGCCAGGATGATGGCACATGGCATCGCGCCATGCCCAGGTGCAAGAGTAAGTTGCAACTCAGGGATGTGTCTCCCCCGAGGAGAAGGGAAGAGGGGTCTGGCCTAAGCATCTCCCCAAAAAGACCCTCCCCTGACTTATCCTTTGAAGCCTCTGGCCCATCCAGGAACCAGTCAGCCCTCATCTCAGCAGGACTGACAGGCTGTACCCAGGGCTGAATTTCGTTGTATCCAGTTCCCGTACATCACGAGAGCCCCCCCACTCACCATAGTTCCCGAAGGTTCTCAGCATGTTCTGCAGGTCCACTCCTGCTCTGTGGGCAGACTGCTCACCTTCCTCCCACTGAAGTTCCGGTACAATCCTTACCAGCTCTCAGACGGCCCTGTGTTCTCTCCAAGTCAGGGACTGCGGGCAGCCCCGAAGCTTGCCTAATGGAGCCTTCAATTATACCACCACGACGGGGGTGAACACCTACCAGGCCCGTATCCAGTACTACTGCCATGAGCCGTATTACAAAATGCAAACCAGAGATGGCAGAAGCCAGTCTGAGCGAGGTAGGGACCCATGCAAATGGCAGTGTTCTCCCTCTTGTTGGGACATCTTCTGCAATTTCTTCCAATAGAATCCCTACAGAGTGAATATTAAGATATTTATCCAGGGCACTGGCTTCAGAGGTACCAAGAGGCATCTAATAAAGCTGAAGAAGGAAACACCTGCGCTGATACAAAGAAAGACTTGAATCTCATAAGCAGCTTCTTCTCACCACCAGCACCACCACCATCACCACCACCATCACCACCACCACCATCACCACCACCACCACCACCATCACCACCACTACTGCCACCACCACCATCACGACCACCACCACCATCACC